TATATATATATATATAATCTTGCCCCCAACTTGGGATCAAGCCCGCAACCCCAGGCATGTGCCCTGACCAGGAATCGAATTGCTATCTCCTGGATCCTAGGTCGATGCTCAACCACTGAGCCATGCCCGGCCAGGCTTATTTGTCATTTTTAAGTGCATATCTTGTAATAATCAGCTTCTAATTAAGCTCTATAGATGTACTAATAGACTTCCAATCTTAAGTACATGCAGCATCAGAGGAGTATTTCAGAAAAAGTGTTTATTTGCCAGCTAACAGCTTCTAGTTCCCTATCCCTGTACATGTATAATTCTGCTCACGTGGAACGCCTGCTCACCTGCTGAAATGCTACCCACCTTTCTAGTTCCAACTCAGGTCCCTTTCCTTGGTGAAGTCTTCCTCACCAATATCATCAGAAGTGTCCTGTCCCTCCTTTCAGCTCACACAGCAGGATCTTTTGTTCCACTTACTTGCTCTAGAATTGTAACAGGTTATTTCCTGACTACAATTGCCCCTCTTAGAGGCTCATGGCCTAGTTGGGATAGTAAGAACTGCAGGCTCTACACACAGAACCCAGTTTAAATCTAGGTTGCATTTGCAAAACTGATCTGCAAGTTTTATTATTACAGCTCTTCTGAACGACGATTCCCTGGCCAGTCCATAAAAGCGTATCTCACCCATACAACATCTGACATATAGTGTCAGTAGCACTCTTCTCAGAATTATTTATCTGAGAAAATGCATTTTCTCAGGAAAAAAAAAGGTATGGTATATGTGACTTTGTTCTACACAGTGAACATCCAGTGGATCAAAAATGTTTAGGTGATCAAAATGCATAAATGGTTATTGATGGTGAAATATTCTATAAAGTCCCACAAATTGGTATATGGCTTCCTAAGAAACACACAGGACTGGTCCTCACCTACGGTTTCCAGGATTCTGCTCAGCAGCTTCTGTGAAACCTCACATGAACTTTGAAAGCTGCACAGTTTCCATCAATCAAGAAAATACCTGTCAAAATGGGGTTGGATAGCCGGGAATTGACTACATCATGCACACAGCACTGTCTTAAAGTTTAAATTAAGATAATGCTATTTGGCCTTTTTAGCATCTTCTCTAATATCGCTCATGTAAAAAGCATTCATTAGAGAAGGTGTTTAAAAATAATACATGAGAAAATAATCTGGTTTATGGATGAGTGGTTTTGACCTGAAAAATAGTCAATAAAAATATGGAAATAAACTCTGAAACAACAGAGATTATAAAAATTGAGCTAGTTTTCCACTCCTTTCCTTTCTCTTCTTTTCCTTTTGGATGAGCCTAATTAATAAGAATAATCATGCCAATTTGTGAAAACACAAGCCTTTCTCTGAAAGCCCAGTTCTGGGGCAGAAATGAGCAGAGTTTCTCTTACCTCTTAGTTCCCCCATATCCAGAGTTGTCCCAAGTTGTTCTAACAAAGCAACTCTTGCTGCATTCTTTTTGTGTTTCTTGCCGTCATAATGTTGCTGCGCCATCAGGGGATTATTAAACCAGGCTGCACAGAGTCCGCAGTATCTGTCTGAATCTCTTCTTTGATAGGGAGATGCTACCACTGGAGCAGTGTCCACCCTCGGAGGCTTAAGTGAGCTCAGGGGCGGTGCTGTGGAGGCAAAAAAATGGAGAGGAGCACAAGCCAGGTTAGTGCACTTGTCCTCAGTCTCTGAAGGTGGAAGAATCTCATGTGCATTGTACGCTCAAAAATCCAAGAGTTTATTGAAAGTAGAAAAATAATATATGCCAGCCTTTGTTTTTGAAGTTGGGATACAACTGGAAATTCCTACTTTATTGAAATCAGGGTCTTCACTTTCTTACACTTTCCTCTGATAGTTCAGGAGACCACTCCTTATAAAGAAAGAAAGATTTTTAAAAATAAACTCTTGGAAATAAGGAGTGGTCTGTTAATCAAATTGAAGCCAAACCGTGAAGTAAACATTGAACAATCATGACTTGAAATTTCTGAATGAATGAAGGAGTGAATGAATGAGGTATTTGGGTGCCATAAATAGAAATCACCAATAAATAAAGGATTTGCCCAAGTGACAGCAAATCTTTCAGAGACATGGGTTGTACCAATCGACAAAATCATGCTGTTTATACTGTCAGTTACTTCTGTTTATTGTGGCAGGTTATTTTCAACCTATACTTGTTAAAATTGATGTTGAAAGTATATTTTTTTAATAAAAAAAGACCAAAAGAAAATACTATAGAGCAGATGTTGCTTCTCCAAAGTGAAAAGGCATATACCACTATTTTAAGATTGCGCAGTCCCACCTATTAATTTAACACATTCCATTGTGACTTTATAGTTATTTTTGGTCCATTAAAAAAAGAACCCAAATTGAAGTTTACTAACAGAAAATAAAAATAACTTTTTTATGCATTACAGCATACAAGTGGCTTTCAGCCTCGTAATAACTATGACTCGGATTATTGTCTCCTTTCCCAGACATGGACTTCAGAGATACCGAATGATTTACTGAAGGTGAGATGTCTAGTTATGGCAAAGGGAGGACTCCAAACCAAATCCTTGGTTTCCAAGAGCAGTGTTCCTTTCGCTACCTTACAGATTCTTTTCATACTTCTTAATAAGCACAGGGACTTCTTCTTCCTAGACTTCAGTCATCTTTGTATTTTATATAAGATTTAATTCAATTCAGGGGGAAATTTCTGATCCAAATATTTTGACAAAGGAAAAGAAATGTAAAATCTCACATAGCCCATCAGTCATAATGTCGTGTAGCACTACTTTCTGTTTGTTCTTTCCCTCTGTGATATGTAGGACAGCTGGCAAAACCATGGGAATTAGGCTCATTCCAAGGAAAAGCTGAGATGTGGAAGCTCAATAGCAAGTTAAGTAACCATTTAATTAACCCTCCAACCTTTCAAATAACTTTTATTTAAGCTTTTATTTTTTAGATTAAATGAATGACATAGAAATAAATACTTGCTGAATTTTTTAATTCAAGAAATGCCTGTACTGTAACAATATATCGAGAAAGTCTTTTCCTCTCTATCCAGAAATTACATCAGATAAGGACACTTGAACTAGTTTGGATAAACAATGGTATTATTTCTATTAGGACTTAGAGAAATAATACATCTCTTAAAAACTTTATTGTGAGATTCAGCAATAAATCACTGTGTGAAACTAAAGCTGAAACGTGGGCCGTACCATCCTAACAGCCATCCAGTATCATTCTGCTGTGACTCAGAAATGCTAATAAAAAGCTACAAATATGCAGTTGACCTACATGGGAAAGGACTTCTATCCACTTTTCTGAAGGAAATTGGATTTTGCTTCCAAAGTTTCCTGCACCTTTATCAATTTCTGTTGTTTTTGATGACAACAGAAAACATATCAAATGTTTACAATCTGAATAAATGTTGACTCTTGAAGCATAATTTACTGTTCTCCAAACAGGGCCCTAAAAAACATTTCAGAGTCAAATCTATCAATTGATACTTTACACACCACATTCTAGTCGGCATTATGCACAATGGAATATTCATCAAATAAGATAGTAATCTTATCTTGCATTTAAGGAAGTAGTTTGATGTTGCATCTGTATTGTAGTTTCTCTTCTTTAATAATTCTATCCTTTGTATACCCAAAAATTTAATTTTCTTATGCTTTGTTTCCAACTGTCTTCACCAATCTCAACTCAGCTTATATTTCATATAAAGGCAAACTGAGTACTATGAAGGGAGTGAAAACAGCTTTCAATCAAAGTCTGAAGTCAAGGTTGGGTTGGACTCCCCCCACTACTGAGCTGTGTGACCTCTGACAACATCTCTGATATCTCTGGTTTCCACAAGGTTAATATTCAAGTTCACCATCTCTTTAAAACCCACAATGTGGGGTATAGAACAAGTTGTAGAAGCTCTCTTTTATGGCTTTGACTGGATGCCAAATAATACGATTTTGTAGAAGGAGAATATTTTCCAAGTTATTTTGCTAAATCTGTATGTGAATTTGAACCATAATACCCATATTTCTTTGGCAAAAGTGTATTATTCTAATAAAATAAATACAAAGTAAGAAAAAGATTATCCTTTGGTTTAAAACGTGTTTTTAACAAAGCTCATTAGTTGATGTATAGTTAATTTTTACTTTTATTTCATTCTTTATGTATAATTGCAAATATATTTAGCTAAATATGGACTTCACTTCCTCTATATAGAACTTAAAATCAAGAAGGAATTAATAGAAACCAGTAGTTTCCAAGCTTGGATGAACATTAGACTTATCGAGAGCTTTAGAAATATCTATGGACTGGAGAATATTATGCTAAGCAAAATAAGCCAGGTAGAGAAAGAGAAATATCACATGATCTCACTTATATGTGGAATCTAAAGAACATAATAAATTGATGAACAAAATAGATTCAGTGACACAGAAGCATGGAACAGATTAACAAATCTCAGAGGGAAGGTGGGAATGGGTGTGTGGGTGGGTGGGTAAAGATTAACCAAAGAATTTATATGCATATATGCATAACCCTGGGGCAGGGAGTGGATGTGAGGTGGAAAGGGTCAATGAGGAAAAAGGGGATATCTGTAATATTTTCAACAATAAAGAAAAATTTTAAGAACCAAAAAGTAAATAAAACCTATGAAATAAATTGTGTGTGTGTGTGTGTGTGTGTGTGTATATATATATATATATAAAATCTCCAGGTTGTTCCCCAGACTAATTATATTAGAATCTTGGAGTAGGAGCCAGGCATCAGGATGCTTTTAACACCTTCCTCCACCCCCCCCCCACCTTCATCCATGTTTCTAACGCACAGCCAATATTGTGGACTACTGATCTAAATATTGCCAGATTTTATTTGAAAATGACTGTAACATAAAGTCTTCTAGGATCCTCACATAAAAGTAAGTCTCATATTACATCCAATGGCAATGGAGCACAACATTTTGAAGGCAATAACCAAAATGTCACATCTTTATCCACGAAACAGAAAGGGATATTTACTTGGTATTTTCTTAAAACCCCAATCAGTTTTCCCATTTCACCAAGTTACAAAAGATTCTTCAAAATAGTAGCTGATATTATGCTTTAATGGGTGAACCTGGAGAGTATTATGCTAAGTGAAATATGCCAATCAGAGAAAGACAAATACCATACGATCTCACTTACACGTGGAATCTAATGAACAAAGAAAACTGATAAGCAAAATAAAACCAGAGTCATGGATACACGAAACAGACTGACAGCTGTCAGAGAAGAGGGGGGAGGGGTAGAACTGGATGAAAGAAGGTGAAAAGATTAGCCAAAGAACATATAAGCATAACCCATGGACACAGACAACACTGTGGTGATGGCTGGGGCGGGGGGGGGGCTGAGTGGAG